TGCAGCTGCGCGATAATCTGCACCTGCTGCGCGTCAGTGGCTTGCAGCTACGCGTTAGTGGCTTGCAGCTGCACGTTAGTGGCTTGCAGCTGCGCGATGGTCTCCGCCTGCTGCGCGATAGTCTCCGCCTGGCTGTTCACTTGCCCCTGCGCCTCTTGTAGGGCATGCAGCAGCTGCTGACCAGCGGCCGAATTCAATGAAGCATTGCTAGATGCATCTGAGCCCGACGCGGCAGATATCGAGGCGCTGCAAGTTGCGCAGCAGGCACCACGACGGCGAGGCCTCCTGCGGTATGTTAGGGACAAGGACGGGCTTGCATAGGAGTGCGCACATGTCGCCAAAGGTGCCTGCCTGAAGTCGCTGTGCTGACTGATGCACACTGCACCGGCCAACACCTGCTTTTGCTCAACCGCAGGCTCTTCTCGTGCTGCTGATCAGGTGGGGCTAGCCATTAAGGTTGGCAAGGAGCTCAAGAAGCACACGGCCGTAGAGCTTCCAGTGCAGAGCGTACTTGGCAGATTCAGCAAGCAGCAGGTCAAGGAGTGGGCTTTCTCCCATGGCTGCACAAATGTTCTATGGAATGACTCCATGGTCCAGTACAAGGGCAAGCTGGCGTTGGTTGCTTAGAGAGGTTCCTTGATGAGCAGGGATACGGAGCAAGTGGGCAGCTGCAGTCTAGAGCTATGTGGTTCAGTGGTGTGTAGTAGGTGTTCACTAGGAAAAATGGAAGCAGTGCAGTAGTAGTGTGAAACAGGTCACAGGTGAAGGTTGATGAAGAACATGTGTGTATAATTGCATGCCAAGAAAAGGTACTGCTGTTGCTGTGATGATTTTGGTAGCAGCCTCCAGACTTGTAAAGAATAGAGACAATAGATGCCTGTACAGGCCAGCTGGCTGTGCACTATACTGCACAATTCCACATGATGAGCAAGTGAGGTGACCAGGGCGACCCAGACTGTTGTGTGTAATACATACATATGTATATAATTCCTGACGAATGTGGTTTTGTGCCTACCCATGCAGTACAAGCTTCTATCCCCAATGATGGCAAATAGATGCTGATGGCATGAATAATGAAGTCAGACAGCTTTCCAAAAAAAAGAGAATGAGTGATTTAATAGTGGACAGGGAATCATGTAAAAGCTCATAAAATTTACAGCGTCTGAACCTCAATACAGCAATTAAAATCCTTCAACAAAAGTTCAGCAAATTATCTAATGGCAACAGCCAGTAACATGATGGAACTTCCTTTTAGCATGTCCCTGCTCGTAACAGCTTTCAAGGCCTGTTAGCAACTACAGCCCTTGGCACCGCTTAACAGCTTAAGTGAATTGAACAAATGCTAACAATTAGTTTCCCAGAACCCTAACAGCCGTAAA